TTTTTATCATTACATTATGGAAAATAATGACCTTTATCACAATATGCTAATTTTTTGAGAAGGACCTGTATATAAACCTTGAGTCAACATTCACACTGTTGTATTCCTGTTACGTTTCTTGAGTCATTTTAACAAAAACATTCAGCTCTACTGGGGATATAATGTGTAACATTTGTGTTGTTGTAACTTGTATATTTTTACTAAATATTTAATTATGATCTTATGAAGAAACGGGTAAAGAGGATGGATGGATGGATGGATGGATGGATGGATGGATAGATGGATGGATGACAGAAGGATGGATGGATGATGGATGAATGATACAAGGATGGATGATGGGTGAATGAATGGATTGATGGATGGATGGATGATAGATGGATGGATGGATAGATGATGGAAGGATTGATGGATGGCTGCTGGATGGATGATGGATGTTGGATGTAGGGCTGCAACAACGAATCGATAAAATCGATAAAAATCGATGATTAAAAGCGCTACCAACGAATTTCGTTATCGATTCGTTGTGTCGCGCGATTATGCATCTTTCACAGCGCTGCGGAGCCGTTTCGTTTTGTTCACGGGCAGTTCATTGTCAATGCTGACTGACTGAATAAAGTTTGAAAAAAAAAAAAACTGCAGCGCGAGTTGAACAGAGCGAGGGGGAGGAAGAAGCAGAGCAGAGTGTTTTCAAAGGAAAATAAGTAAATTTTACAAATGACCAACGTAGCGAAAACTGTTCGACCCAAGTCCTCCAAAGTGTGGGAGAACTTCACAAAGATAAAACATGAGAAACATGCAGCTTTGAAAATCACCGACACGACACGTGAGAACCACGCTGATAAACGTAAACATGTGGGAGTCACGAAGAGGAGGAAGGAGCTGCAGCTGATACAACATGTTTCACTCCCAACTCGTGTTGCAGGTGAGTCTCTACAATTTAATACATTGTTCTGTTTCAAGAGAGAAAATGTAACGTCAGTCTGTCTGGTAGATGAAGCTGCTGCTTGCTTGTTTGTTTGTTTATCTGATTAATGACGGTGATAGAGAACGTGTGTGTTACTTTTTATTTAATTTAATTGGTACAAGCAGTGTTTAAATGTGATTTATAAATAAATCTAACACAAAGATAATAATTTAATGATTAAGCTTCAACTTTTAATTTGCTGGCAAAGTCTGAAGACACTGCAGGTATGGCAGGATGAATTGCATTTAAACAGGAATTAAAGTAATTTATTACATCTACTCAAATGTGTGTAATTAAGTATTTTATATGTGTGTGTGTGTGTGTGTGTGTTTAATTGCTCTTTTAGCTACTTGTGCCTGAACCTAACGCTGTAAGTGAAACAAGGCATTTCTTGAGTTGCTGTAAATTGTGATATAATACATATTTATTGTCTAATTCCAGAAAACGACAACAACAACATCCTTCATGATGGACAGACATCATGGACACCACAGCAGCAGCTGTCTTCACTGAAACATCCTGAACATGATCGTCACTGACATGAGGCCTCTGTCGATGGTTGAAGACGAAGGCTTCACTACAATAATCCACATTTTTAATCCAGGTTACACTCTTCCCTCAAGGACACATTTTACAAAGTAGCTACATACTGTGCAGGTATAAAGATACATTTGTATATATTTTTGTGTACATTTATTTTTTTAAGCTATTTGACTAACTTTTATTGTTTTATTATTCAATATTTTACTAACACAATAGTAAAATAGCAACCTGTTTTTAGTGTGAATTGCTATGTCAGTCAAATGTTGAATTTTGGAATAAAGGGGTGGAATTTAAAACGTTGTTTTTTTTTCGCCGATTCATCGATTAATCGAAAAAATAATCGCCCGATGAATCGATTATTGAAATAATCGTTAGTTGCAGCCCTAGTTGGATGGATGGATGGATGATAGAATGATGGATTTGTAGATGGATGCTGGATGGATGGATGATAGAAGGTGGATTTGTGGATGGATGATGGATGGATGATTGATGGATGGATGATAGAAGGATGGATTTGTGGATGGATGCTGGATGGATGGATGATGATGATAGGATGGATTTGTGGATGGATGATTGATGGATGGGTGGAGCCTGTGTTGCTAATTTTCATTTTTAGCTACAGTTTTGTTTTAGATTTGGCTACTGTTTTCATAATCAGCTTTTAGCTACAACTTTGCCACATGTAGATTTTAGCTACTTTTCTGGTTATTTTAGCTACTGTTCTGCATATTTTAGCATTTAGCTACTGCTCTGCTCTTTTGGCTTTCACTCTTCTGCTTGGTTGAGCTTATATTTTGATCATGTAAGGGTCTGTGCTCACGGTTCCAGCTTATGCAGTGCTTGTTTTAACGTGAACTCATCTAACGTTCATCACTCGCACTGTTGAACTGCTGATCACTCACCTTGTGGAGTTCTGGTATCCAAAGGAGAACATGTGTGCTCCCCTCTCCGCCATGCTGCCTTCCATATCAGGAACAACAAAGTGGAGACCCCCTTTGGGCTGGTCCAATGAGAATTCTATGTACACCTTCAGCACCTTCAGCTCTGAGGACGCGATAAAAACAAACTTTAATTGTATCTGACTGATTCAAGCTAGAAACCATTATCATCTGTTTTTTTAATCTGGTAAAGATTAGAGTTGAAAATGCCAATAAAACATTTATGTCTCAGACTGACAACAATCTGAACCCAGGTCTTTACATTGTAACAAAAGAGTGCTGTAAGACTGAAAAGCCACAGACAGACTTCAAGCACCAGTTTACCATCTCCTTGTTTCCAGAGTTCAGAGGGAACTTTGATGACCAGTTCCCCATTCCCAGCATCAGGATCCACAGCACTCACTGCAGCTGTGTAGGCACTAGAGAAGTAGTTCAGGTTCCTCCTAAATAAGAGACACAAATGATCCACATGAAACCAAACTTTTCTGACTGGAGACCAACCACTGTTGTCAAACTTGTTCTCAGACAATAAAATGTAAGAGCACTGCAAGAATCTTTAAGAATCTTTGTCTTTTTTTAAAGGAGTGGTGGCGCAGAGGAATCCTCTGACCATAACATTAAAATGTGGGTGGGAAAGGTGAAGCACCCACATCTGCCTCCACCCTCATTTGCCCCCACTCTTGAGACACTTAACCCCCCAGCTGCTCTCTGGGCAGCCGTCTGCTAAACATGTGCAATGGGAAAATGCAGAGAATTAATTTCCCCACTGAGGATTAATAAAATAATAATAAAAGAACATGGAAAGGTTGGTAGTAACATTAAAGGCCTAGTGTTCCTTAATAGCTGTAGACTTGACAGAGTGAAGCCCCCAGTATACTGCCGCGTACATCCATACGCAGAGGTACGCACGTACGTACGCAGAGGTACGTGCGTACCCCCCAGCGTACCCTCCGTGCAAAGCTAAAATTTTTACGACCGCATATGCGTACGCGGTGTCGCACAATAAACTGCCCAGCGACGGACTGTTTTGTATGCGACACCAATGTATTAAATTCCCCTTCTTCATCCCTGATCTGGCCTTTTCTTTTGTTTTTTGCCAAGAGGCAGTGATCTCTTCCTCCTCCGTTGATGCAATTACTGAAATGGTGAGAAATGGAGGAATTTGTCACGAGCAAAAACTCAGGTCCAGCATGGCTGCGGGAGGGTCTGGAGATTTCCTGGTGAGCTGGTCTGATGTGTGGGCTGTAGAGCCAGCTCTCTCTGTTTTTTTTTTATTTTTTTAGATCTTTTTACTAACAACATATAAACACAGAACACCGCTGCGGCGGAGGCTGCCAGCGCTTGCTTTTTTTTTCTTTTTTCCGACCTGTCAATTAATCCAGTAGGCGTGTCAGCAAATGACCAATCGGCGACCTCAATTTGTCCCGAAGGTAAACGCCCCTTGTCTGTGAAGCTGCTCTGCAGCTGCTTGGGGTGTACGCTGAGTATCATGTCTGAACCCTCTGCGTACCGTACACGCGTACGTACGCATGAACGGACATACGCGGCAGTATACTGGAGGCATTAGAGTCATTTATGTTTTGTAGGTCAGTTGACTGTAGCAGCGATCTTTAATCAGGTCGGCTCCAAAACATAATCATTTTGAGGATGTACATCTGTAGTGAGACACGTGAGGTACGTGTCACTTGTTGTATGACAAATATATGGATATATATTTATGCATACTTTTCACGAGTTCTTCATTTTTCTGACTGTAAATGTCGTGCATTGAATTTAACAGAAATGTGAACGAGAGACGTTATTTATCTTTGACCCATCAAATGAATGGAATCATTTATTTTCAAAATCAAAGTTTAACATCAAACATTTACATTAATTTGGCAAAATATGAAAATAATAACAGACAGTTTCACAGAAAATGAACTTCAAATCACTCGGCGGTGATTTGAGGACTTTGCTTAAGATATTTCTAAAATATCTGTACTGATTTATGAGAGAGAGAGGTGGGTTTTAGAGTGAAAGGAGATTATCTTACAGAGAACTGTGTGAGGGAAGTTTAATCTGTTTAACCAGAAATTGCACGCTTCGTCAGATCCTCAGCTTCTCACGGTACACTTGGTCAAAATAGAACCATCTACCTGTTGACGATGAATCAGCGCTGGATGTAGTTCCTTTCTGACTCGTTTCAGCGTCTCCGTCGAGAGCTACCAAACCTTCAGAAAGTCGTGCGTTGATTAGCTCAAAACAGAATTATAATCCCAAACGTTCCTGGTTCTTCATAACTCCAAACTCTTCATAACCGGCTGCACTCTCAATCTGCTCATTCTGTTGGACTATCGGACCTGTTGTCAGCTCTCATTCCAACATCTCTCAGAACTCTCATTCTCTTGGAATTCTGGAATCCATAATTCTCTATTCCTTTTCTTCTCTTCCCCATGAACTGAGAAGTTGCCACATTTTATTTGGGTCGACTTCCTGTTCAATTTAGAGCTTTCTGATTCGTGGAAGGACCAGAAAGAGGAGTGGATTTGTGACGTAAGATGTTATCATAAGTCAAGGATTGTTTACAACATACAGAAAAGATTATTGCAGCAACAGCAGACTTCGTGGAGTCTCACACTTTGTAATCTTTTCAAATAGTAAAACATGACATTTTTCTCGGTAAACATTTTAGTTGACCGAAAACCAACCTTTAACATACTTACGACAGCTTGCTCATTTCAGACAGAAAATCAAGAAAGGCATATTCAGGTGATTTCTTCTCTGAATGAGGAACAAAAATCATTACTTACTGTTTATGTAAAATAAAAATTAGTAGTTCTTTTCAACCTGTAAAGCATTGAGTGAACTAACACAATTTGATTATCAAAACATTTGTAAGACAGTAATGATTATAAAGAATTGTCTTTTCTGCTTGATTAATTCAAGAAAGAAAGTTCATCAGATGGTTCAGACTTATTCAGATCAATGAAAATAACAGTCTCTGTCCATCTGGTAGATTTGAGGTTATCTGGTTCACTACAGTCCCCCCTTTGGAAATCATCACCTGTCCATGGGGATGAATTCCAACCGTGAACTTAGACCTTCAAATGTCCTTGAGCTTGATGTAATCCAGCAAGGAAGACCAAAGTCAGAAGTAATCCTTCAAGGAAGACCAAAGTCAGAAGTAATCCAGCAAGGAAACAAAGTCAAGGTAATTCCACAATGTTCTTGGTATTCCATTGTGTTTATTATAATCCCATATCGTCTCGATAATCCCATTGTAGCAATGCTTTAACCCCTTGGAAACAGAGTCTGTAATCCATTGGAAAAAGTCATATAATCCACAACGGTAAATCCACAGCGATTGGAAGTGTTGATTAATCAGCATACAGAGGGGTACCCTTGGATTGAACTGAAGAAGCGGCCACTGGATGAAGAGTTGAAACCAACGTCAGGATTGCAGGTCGCCTCCAGCGAAGGTTGTCTCCAGCGACGTCCAGCCTGTGCCGTTCTGGTTCAATGTGTCATGCAATTATGTGGTTTAAGGTGGGCTTATGAAGGGGATTTTACATAAGGCCTTAAACTATATGCATCTGGTGTGTATGCTATTATGGTTGGGAATAGCTACAACTACCAGTTAAGGGGTGGAGAATGCTGAAAAGGGGTACTACAGGGGTTTATGCCTATAGAAAAGTGTTCCAAACTATTTTTCCATTTCTAACTTGGTTTAAGTTAGCTTTACATGGTAAAATATAGTTTGGTGTAATTGTCTGTTGTCTTTTAGACGAACGACTTGAGATTGGGTGTTTGGTTTTCCCATAAATGTTTTGGAAGTCTATGGCGAGACTTATCAACAAGAATTAGCTATCCCCCCGAATAGAATTGTTCGAGTAGGTTCGGCTTAAGCGTTGTGAGATCAATGTAGATTATGGTACTCAAAGTAGCAATAATATACATTGACTCCGCAAAGATTGCAATTTAGTGAATGAACTGCATGTTGGCATGGTTAAAGGCTTCTTAGTCTCTAACTTACTACACAACAAAATTCATTCTTACCTCAGAAACAACCAAAATCAATTAAACAACGTTCCAACACCGACAAGAGTAGTGACTAAGCATCTAGAAACATCGTTTCACTGCTTCTCCTCACCCTGGTTGCCAGATTTCAGTCACGTTGTCCCGTTTTATCAAGGGTAGGTCCTGTGAGTTTAAACTATGGTTAAGTTTATTATCCATTAGTTATCTTCTACAGGGATGACCCTTGTTCCCACGAGGTCAGATTTTGTGATGTCTTTGTCTCCTAAGGAGTTATTGCATGCCTTGTGTTGTTTAACCTGGTTACGGTGTACCCATTTAACAGTTGGCTCTTTTTGGCCTTTACTGATTTTTATCTGGTAGATAATTGGAGACACTTTGTCAGTTATCAGATGGGGTCCAGTCCATCTGGGCATCAGCTTACGGGCGAGAGTTCCGGTCCCGGACTCTACTCTCCCAGTTTTGGGTGCAAACGTGTAGTACCAGACCCTGTCTCCCACTTGGAGTTCCTCGTAAGAGGCCTTTTGGTCGTAGTACGCTTTGCGTCCTTCAGCTGATTTTTCCAGGTTTTTCTGTGCGAAAGCAAAAGTGTTTTTAAGATGTCTTTCCAAGTCTTTCATGTATTGTTGTGTGGTGTAGGCTGTTGCCATGGCAGCATCGCCTGGTTGGTACAGCAGGTGCAGAGGGAGAGTCATTTGTCGACCCGTCATCATCTCGAAAGGAGCGATGCCAGTCGACGTGTGTGGAGTGGCCCTTATGGCCATGAGGACCAGAGGGAGTTTCACGTCCCAGTCCTTGTGGTTTGCGGCTACGTATTTTTTCAAAATACTCACCACCGTCCTATTTGCTCTCTCAACCTGGCCTGAAGCCTGTGGGTGGTAGCCAATATGGAAGTTGGCTTTGACGCCTAGCGTCTTCCACAGTTCCTTCATTACTTCACCTGTGAAGTGTGTACCTTGGTCTGAGTTCACCCTAAGGGGAAGTCCAAACCTTGAAAATACATGATTCATTAACAACATAGCAGTGGTTTGTGCTGTGTCATTAGGGGCTGGTAGACATTCTACCCATTTGGTAAACGCGCAGGTTACCGTGAGAAAATATTTATTTCCTCTAGAGGTCTTAGTGAGTGGTCCGACCCAGTCAATCTGGAGGTCCGACCATGGAAATGCAATGCCTCTACTATGCAGTGGTGCTCTGTGAAGTGGTCTGGATGGTTGAAACTGGCCACAGATCAGGCACCCTTTTATGTAGTCCTTGACATCCTTTTTCATTCCAGGCCAATAAGCAATCTGTTTTAATGCTTTCAGCGTGGCATTGTCACCCTTATGTCCTGCGGACGGAAGGTCATGTGCATGGACTAACATCACCCCCCTGTGATCATGGGGGACCACGAACACAGGTGAGGACGTCCGTCCATGAGCGAAAG